CACAAAAAGAAATCACAGGGTGTTAAATCTGGCGAATGGGGTGGCTAGGGGAGCAGGTTGTTGTCTGCTGTTGCACCACATCCAATCCAACGTTGGTGAAGAACATGATTAAGAATATTGCGTACATTCCTGTGAACTTTGACAGTTGCCGCTGCTTATGCTGTAAGGTTTGCCCATATAAGGTAATAAATAGATTTATTATTAATTTTTAAAACAGCACCATTCATTTATAAACATCCTGTATATATATTTATATGGTTTGTTTTTGATGTGTGTGTGTTAATTTTTCTGTGGAATGCTAAAAACACATTTATATAAAAAAAAGTCCCTATTTAAAAAAATTTAATTTCTGTAAACTTTAAACTTGAAAGTGGGAATAATAAAACAGAAATCTTCTTAAATTTTGTATTGATAAATGTTAAAATTAGTGCTGAACCATTTCTGCAACTATTGCCACTGGACATGCTTACAGTAGTATATTTTACTGTACTTATAAAGAAATGAAAACATTTACAGTATATTTGAGGATAATTTCAAATAATGAACTTTTTGATACTTTCAAAACTCCATCAGCAAGATTATGTTCCAGATAGAATTTTAGATTATTTAAAGTTAGAATAATTGTAATTCTGTTTTTCCTAAAAAATTTTAAGTAATTACTGACTAGTATTTGCATTTATAACCTTAATAACCTTTTATTAGCTGATGTAACTGCTTTACATAGAGGAATTATAATAGTAAAGTATTTTATACAATATTTCCTTTAGCATACTATATACTATAAATTTATATGTATAAAATATTATATGTATACTATACTATATAAATCCTAATAAAGTTCAGTGGCTGCTACAATAGATTTTATAGTATTGTTAATATTTTCTGGATATTCTTTGAAAATTTTTCATAACTTTGATGCTATAGTAAAAGAAGTCATTATTCTAATTTTTTTTATCGTTTAGCTAAGTACAGTTTTCTTGTTAGTGCTTCAAAATGTTTTTTTGCTGATCAGATTATGATTAATTTTAAAAATAAATAAATATCAAGAATACATTATAAACTAATTATTTTAATAATATTCATTACATTACATATGGATTTATGCAAACGATATTACCACATAGCTGTTGCTGTAGGTTTTTGATTTGAATAAACAATTTCATAAGACACATAATGTGCCATTGCAGGTTTTTGGGCTATCCATATTCTTTTTTTTTTTTTTCCTTCTTGGTGTGTGGGAGATTGGCAGCACTGCGGTGAGAGGGAAAGGAAGGATATTTAAAGAAGTGAGGATTGGCAACAGCATCTTTTTTCTGGTTGGTGAGAGGTCGCCCAGGTCAGAAAGAAAGGTCTACGTTTTTGTATTAAGGTGCTTAGGAACCGCATGGTGCAGTGAAGCTGTATACAGATGTGTATTATGAGACTGACTGGAAGTGAAATCTGTTTGCATGGACAAAAATACTCACTGGATGCTTATAACTGTTAAAATTAGTGAATTGCCAGAAGTGGACATTGTCCGAGAAGTATTTTCAGAGAGATTCACATGTATATTAACAGAAAGGACTTGTATCACACCCAATTCATTATACAGACAAATTCATCTGGTACATAAATGTCTCTATATGTGGCCTAGTGCACAACTTGTAAATTTTTGTATATAAACTTAATTTTTAGTGACTTTTTTCGCTGTCTCTCTTATCTTGTGGTAATCAGACCTACACATCCATGCAATAGTCCCACTATGGGTTATTGTGATTTCCACAATAAACAAGACAACTCTGTGAAATCAGAGAAATAAATACACTAGATAATATTAAGGAATCTAGTTTTTTAATGTAATTTAAATGTTATTTGGGAGGACTAGTTTCATTTTCAGAATTCAGACAGCTGTGATTAATCAAAAAATATCATATACCACTTGATGACATGCACAAAAGGAGATATAACACCTAGAAGAGAAAGTACAAGAGGATAACAGTCAATGTTCTCCTTTTATTAGCCTAAAAAGGAACAAAATAATAATTTATATTAAGCTCAGATCTGAGTCTGAAATAAAACATAAATTGAACATACAAATCATTGATACCAACAACTGCACAGCAGTATGTTTAGGAAATCCTGCACCCTAATGTGCTACCTTTCATGGCAGTGCTACAATCAGCCATTTTCCAGCAAAATAATATTCAGCTTCACAAGGCTAAGATTTTGATATGTCTATATGGGGTCTGTTCAAAAAATAACCACATTTTTTGAAATGGGTGAAAACAGTGTGTCCTAGCATTGTGAGGTTGGCAACACTACATTCTTTATAACCTATCAAGTAAGCTGCTTTTTATTGATTGTTGATATCTTGCTTTGTTCCCATGTTATTGTTTTTTGAGTGAAAGGTGTTTCAGTGTTTATGGCAATTTTTGCAATGTGCGATTTACAGGAGCAACGATACAACGTGAAGTTTTGCATGAAACTGGGGAAAACTTTTACAGAAACATTTTTGGATCAAGCTTATGGAGGGTGATGCTCTAGGTTGTATGCAGTGTTGTGAATTGTTTACCCAATTCAAAAGTGGTTGTCAATCAGGTAATCCTTGACCAGGAAGGCCTTTGACCTCAACTGATGATATTCACCTTCAGAAAATTGATGATCTGGTGCATGCAAATTGTCATGTAACTGTCAGAGAACTTGCAAACGAGGTTGGGATCTCAATAGGGTCGTGCCATGATATTTTAATGGAAAAATTGAATATGCATTGAGTTGCAACAAATTTGTTCCTTGTTTGATGATTGAACTGCAGAAGGAAAATGGAGTGGACATTTGCCAGGAACTCCTTCAACAAGACAACGATGACAAAATATTCATGCAAAGGATCATAATAGGTGACAAGAGTTGGGTTTACAACTATGACATTGAGATAAAAGTTTAATCATCACAGTGGTTGGCAAGGGATCTCCACATCTGAAAAAAGCACAACAGTCTTGATCCAATGTCAAGGTGATGATGATCACTGGTTTTTTTTTTATTTCAGTAGAGTTGTGCACTTTGAATTTTTGCCTCAAGGTCAAACAGTCAATTGTCAGTACTATGCAACATGAAACAGTTGCATGAAAAAACTCACAAAAAGAAACCAGAGTTGTGGTGAGACAACTCACGGTTCCTTCACCATAATAACATGCCTGCTCACTCAGCCTTGTTAATTTGCCAGTTTTGTGCCAAAAATCAAATGACTGTCCTCCCCAGCCTTCCTACTTGTCAGACCTGGCTCCCAATAATTTTTTTTCTTGTTTCTAAAATTAAAATCAGTGCTAAAAGGACACCATTTTGACACAATTGTTGACAATAAAACAAATCTATCACAAGCATTGAAGGACATTTTGAAAGAAGCTTACCAGGACTGCTTTGCAAAGTGGAAACACTGCTGAGATAAGGTGTGAATAGGGGAGAGGAGTACTCTGAAGAGGACAGAACCAATAATCTGTAACTTGAAGAATGAAGAGTAAAAAAAAATAAATTTGGTTATTTTTTTTCAACAGACCTCATAATGTTGCCATTTCCTTGGTCAGCAGGCCAAGGAAATGGCAACACTATGAGGTTGTCCAGATTTGTCACTCATTGAGCATTTGTGAAACCATATAGGATGCCAGATCAGCCTGCTATGAGAGTAAGGGATCTAGATAACATCTGTATCAAATTGTTTGCTGGATAGCATAATTATGGTGTTTATATGCCTCCATGCCCAATCATATTATTGCATGTATTCAGGAAAGAGAAGGTCCAGCAAGTGTACTAAAAGTTCATTTAAATTGTGCCATTTTTGACAGAAGTTTATTTTTTTTTTATCATATTGTAATCACTTATATCAGCATTATATTTGTGTTAATAAAGGTTTATTTAATTCCAGTGCCACCTTCTTGGTGCATAACTTCTTTGTCAATGAGTGTATTATATTTATCAAACTATTTGAACTGTTATTAACTTTAATAATAATAATATCAACATTAATTTGATATTACTTGAAATAATATGATATAAATTGATTTTAAAAGTTATTACAAATTTAATTTAATATAAATTTAAATAACTAATATATGGAAGTATCTTGTATATCATAGTAATCACTGACATTAGTTTTAAGATGATGTAATCTAAAATTTTTAATAAAGATAATATTGGCATATTATAATAATATAGAAAATCACTTTATGTTAAATTTTGATTTTTTATTTTGTAACTGTCTGCATTAAGTTAAATTTGAAACAACTGAATAATTATCACCATAAAATTTTTATTAATTTAAGATCATTTTGTTTAAATGATTGTTTTATATAAATTTTAATTGATGATGATGATGATGATGATAAAAGCAGTATGATGAATTTTTTTTTGAAGAAAGAGTTATGAGTTATTTTAAAATTAATTTAAAGTGTGTGTGTGTATTTGTTTTTATTTGTATATATTATATATATTGAAATGAATATTTTTCTGAACAGTAGACAGTAATTTTTATTAAAATTTAATAATTAGTTTTAAAACTTTTTCAAATTTTATTAATTTTTTCTGATGAAAATTATTTTAATTAATAATAATTATTTTTAGAATATATCAGTTAATATCTCTTGATATTAAACAATGTCACAAAGCACCAATTATTGTAAAAAAAAATATTTTTAAAACTTCAATTAAAAACATAATCAATAGTATCATTAATGAACTTGAATATTTTTATCAATTCACCATTCAAGTTATATTAATTTACATTATTTGAGAATGTTTGATTTAAATCAAATGATATTAATTGATGTTTTCATTAGGAAGTTTGTTTATATTATTTTAAGATATTTATTGCTGATATTATTTAATCATAGTTAGAGAATTTATTGAGAATTTATTATTGAGAATATTATTATTAATTAATTATTATTGAGAATATTAGAGAATTGATATATAAAAAAATATTTTAAATTATTTGTTTTTGAAAAAGTAAAAATGGTTTATTTTTGTTTTAGTTATGGCAAGGTACAGAGTGTAAAAATTCTTCCTAAAAAAGATGATGATAATGGTACTGGTATTAGTGCTACTGTTGCATTCATTGATATCAAATCTGCAGCCAAAGCACATAATGCAGAAAATAAAATAGAAGAAAGGACTTTAAAAACTGATTATTATGAACCACCTGCTTCTAGTACTGCTAGTTCAGCAATATTCATTCATGAAAGGGATGATTCTTTAGTAAGGCCAACCACGGGTGTTTATACTGCAGCTCGACCATCGCGCTACCAACATGGGTATGTATCAATATGTTATCCACAAATAAAGGGTTTAGAATAATTCACCAATAATATATTATAAAGGGGTGGCTTTTTAATACTAAGAAAGTAAGTTGAGAATTTTAATGATTGTTGAATTGTTCTTTAAAGTAATATATTACATTTAATTTGGAATAATATATTTATTAAAAGGAAAGATTTTTGAATAAGATATCAAATTTCCAAATCACTATAAATGAAATTATGTAAATAACAAAATTGAAATATAAATATTTTGTTATACTTGATGTTTGACTTCTAAAAATTCTATACAATTTTTAATATTGTTTCTTTAGTTTTTTTAAAAAATAATTACAAAGAAATATTAAAAAATAAAAATAAATAATCATATTCAGTTCTCCAATAAATTGCTAATTTTACTTTTTGTATATATATTTCTGAAGAATACAGGTACAACTTGGTTTTATAGCACTCTTAATTCCAAAGTCTTAATTTGAATAATTTGTTTTGTTAGATCAACAATGATCACATAATAATAATAATACAAATTCACCCCTATTCATTAATTCACTAATTTTATTGTCACTACTAAAGGCATTAGAAAAGTTTNGAAATTTGAATATCAAATCCAATAAATTGCTAATTTTACTTTTTGTATATATATTTCTGAAGAATACAGGTACAACTTGGTTTTATAGCACTCTTAATTCCAAAGTCTTAATTTGAATAATTTGTTTTGTTAGATCAACAATGATCACATAATAATAATAATACAAATTCACCCCTATTCATTAATTCACTAATTTTATTGTCACTACTAAAGGCATTAGAAAAGTTTTTCAATATGACCTTATTTTTTTAAACCTTCAAAATATTTTGCACCACACTCATCTATGCATCCTGTGGAATCAATCATAAAACCATAAAAGAGTTTGTAAAAAACTCAAGTAGAAAATGTGTTCCATGATCTGTTGTTTAATTCAATATACAACATTCTCGGAGAAAAGTATAAGTTTGAGACCACGTTTTCATGATTCGTCAAATAACAACAGACAAATCAAGAAACTATTTACATATATCTCTATCTTTATAAACCAGATTAACATAACATCAAGTATCATTTAGCATAAGAACAAACTGATAGCAATAAACATGCTAAAAAGTATGTAATTTGGTCTGAGTTCAAAAGTACTGCATACAATGCTTCTTGCATACTCCATATTTGGAGTATGCCAGAAGCTCACATGTACCTTTACATGATGAATTCATTAAAATATAAATGTGAAGATTATATTGCAATTAAAAATACTTTTATTAACCCTATATATTTTCTAAATTTTGTATAGTGTATATACAGTAACACAAATTCTGTTGTTATATACTCAATGATCTGTTTGTAAAATATTTGATGAATATTTATTGCAATTAAGATTGTTTATAATGTAATTTATATTAATATAGATAAGATTACATTCCTTGGCTTATTTGTCTTAATTTTTATTAATTAGATAATTTTATAAACAAACATTATTATGTTGGGTTTAATGGGTTATACTTTGTTTACACCGGTGGCTGTGTACTATGCCAGACCAGAGTCAAGGCATAGCAACCAAAAACTAAAATTAAATAAGTGTGTCAGTGTCTGTATTCAGGAATTTCCTAACAAAATGCCATTATGGATTTAAAAAACCTCTACATACTAGATTAGATAAAACAGAATGTAAAATTAAAGTTTAATTAAATTATCATTGACAAATTAATTTTGTCAGGTTTGTATTTTAAGATGGTAAACTGTTCTTGTTTATTGTTTAGATTTTATGTAACAAGTTTTGAAATGAGCATTCTTATTACACTTCATTTTAAGCAGCATCCAAAAAACAATATTGCAACATATACATTTCATAAGGGTGCTATAGCATTTTATAGTTAAGCTCAGCCATACATGTAATAATAAAGTGCTAACTTTAACCCTTAATGTTTTTTTGACTAATTAACCGATTTTGGATGAAATTTAAAATATTTAATGTCCATGATGAGTACTATGGATGTTTTAATTTTGAATAAATTTGTTGGATTGTTTTGTACTTATGCAAACAGCATTTTGTCACCTAGATTTACAATGAGAGAGAGTAGTGACACCAAGCTACTGAACAATATAGAAGACTCTGCATACGTTTAATAGTTCTTTTGAGAGCTGACCTTCTGTTGTTTGCCCTTTTGAAGGTTTTATTTAAAAATATTGAGTATTTATAAAATAATAGCCCATTTTAAAGAAATTTTAACGTAGTATTGATCAATCAGCTGTCACATGATGTAGTGCAGACTATTGCATGACTGTCATGGGAAAATAGAATTGTCATGTGATCTCAGATAGTTATTACATGACTTCATATCTTGCAATTACTTTTGATCTATTAATTAATACAAGCCTAATGATTTAAAAATAGAGTATTTATAAAATAATATCCCATTTTTTTAAAAATTTTGGCATATTATTAGTCAATCAGTTATGATGTGACATGACATACTGTAGGCCATCACATGACTATCAGGTGAATAGAGAATTATGAAAACTATTCTGTTATGAAGTATGAAGTTATTTTGAAATTTGAAATTCCATTAAAAAAAGAAAAACTATTGGAATCAGATTGAAAAGTAGAGTTCAATGAAAACATTTAAGAAAAAGAAACTTTTGAAAGTTGTGGCATAAGAATACTGTACTGGAGGCAGATTTGACAGCAGACCTCAACATGTGAATAAAGTGTATTTAAATAGACTATAACTATAGGAAGCTTGGATGAAGCAATATCATCATGATAATAAATCAAGAAAACAAGCATTGTCACAGAAAAAGGCTTTAAACTTTAATTTGTGTCTTAAAGTTTCTTCACTAATATTGCTCAAAAATGTTCTAATGTTCAGCCAAATTACTGTAGCTGCAATGACTGAAAAATACATTTAGGTTTATGTTCTATGAAATATGAATATTAAAATTCAAGAGATATTCTAGCAGAAAAGATTAATCAGTAAGATATTCTGTGAGCTATATCGGTATTTAAAAATTTTTACAGTCCATATGAGATTAAAGAATCTTCTATAAGCATGGAATTACATAAAAACATTTCATGACATTTAGAACTATTGTTAATATATATATACATATATACATACACATTATATAGGAAGTTGTGAAATGCAATTTTGCAATGTTATATTAAGTTGCTCAGATATTTTTTGTTTGGAATATTTCAGATTGAGTAACACTTTTATTTTATTCCATAATCAATTTGATATTCTCTTCTATTATTAATTTTTTCTAGCATTATGACTTCCATTTATTCCAATCCTTTTATTGCTCAATATAAAATAACATTAATGGCCAGTTTTACAAATCATCATTAAAATTTAACAAATGTGTTAAGTCTATTTAACAGTTGAAAGTGTTTCATTAAAACTTTGTTAATTCTATTGAAGCATTAAACTAGCCATTATTTTAAAGATCCAACTTTGGAAGTTTCTAATTGATTGATAAGTTAAAATTAAGATGGAAGATTATGGTGAGTTTAATGCAGAATTGTTGTGTATCATGTACAGGACCACAAAAAACCCATTACCTATAGACAAAGCAGTTTCAAAATTTTGGAGGGTGATTGCTTCACTGCTCTTTTAATCACATATGCATTTGAGTTAAAATCAAGTGCAAATTTTTTCATGTTTATTTTTTGTTTAATTGCAACACCATCAGTTTGTATTTTTTTTTTTCAATTATGCTTTGCATTTTTTGAATCAAGTCTAATAAAAACATTCTGCTCTATATTTGTATAATTTGAAATTTTTACTTGTTAGTTTTGGTTCTGGTTTAGGTTCAGTTGCATTCCATGTATTCAACTAGTTACACAAGATGTTTGATGTAATAGTTGTGATTGATTTCTTAACATCTTCATCATATTTGCTGATACAACACTAGAGAACAGTTAAGAAATTGCTCATTAAATTGAGTTAAAGAATATTGGTGATTAACAAGAAAAACGTTATACATTTTTCCAAGATAATGCTTTAATTCAAACAACAAATATGAATGTTTTCAGCCACATTCAGAGCCTGTTTCAAGTGTTCATCAATAGAAAACCAATGTTGGTTGTGATTCTATTTTAGAATGTTTTTACAATTTCAGTCTTAGATGTCATCACTTTTGAAAGATTACTAGTTTTTCAAAAATGTAATTATTTATATACAGTCGACCTCCCCCCTATAAGATATAGATACGTTCCAATTTATTAGGAATCCGATTTCTTACAAGTCATTCTAATCACAGCCCGACACGTGTCAAGTTTAAGGACTACGGCTGATTGAAAGGTTTTCTTCCATAAAATTAATCGATTCTACACTAATCCGACTCAACATTTCCAAAATACGTATATTTTTTCGTAGTTTTATAGGAATCGTAATTATAGGGGGGTCGACTGTATAACATATTTTTTACAATAAATTTTTTTGTAATTTATAACAAAAGATGAATGCATTGTCATGCTAGATGTGCACCAAAATTACATGCATATGCTCCCTTTGCTTTACATTGCTTATTTGCCTCCATTTAGAAGTTTATCTATCTATAACTGCCATATGGCTGATATTGTCTCACAACCCTTACTATTAATACAATTTCCTTATTTGTTGCATTGAAAATTTCCCATGCTAGCATCATCCCAGTCCACTAGGGTGGCTGGGAATGATGCTAGGAATTACGCTGATACAGTATGTGCTGTATCAGTGTATTTCCTAGTTTATTATTAAACATTATATTTGTGCTCTGTAACTTTATATTAAGTTTTAGTATTATTGAAAGAGAGAAAAATTACTTTAAATAAAATTATTTTTTTTTTTGTATATTGTTTTGACTTTAAAAAAAAAGCATTGTAAAATATGCTATTTTAAATTTATGTAGGTAGATTTTATCAACAAAATTTAGAATACAGGAACTTGGCAAAAAATAGTTTTTGTATATGACACTTATTGTA